CGGCTGGGCAGGGATGGCTATAAATAGCATCGTTTCAGATTCAGCCTGCTCATCCCTTCAGTCTCTGGGTTATTTTCTCCTTCTTTCCACGGCTCTCTGCGGGCTGGGATGAAGGGGAAGCACAGGCTGGACCCTCCCTGAAGTCACACAGGGAAAACAGGGAGACGGAACAGTTAAATTGGTTCGAATCCCCGATGTTGATGCACTTATGGCAGATTAACCTTTGCATCAATAGACTCCCCAAATCACACTAAACTGGCTTAACCCTTCCCTAAATGGGTTTAACTGGTTTGCAGCAGGGGCTCGTACAGGTTTAACGAGCTCAGCTGAGTCCCAGTAGTGGTGCTTTCCTGGGTAAGCCCTGAGCCCCCATCACAGGTCTGTGCAGAGAGCGGCCCCAGGCCCTCCCCCAGCTGCTTTGTGGGCTGGAAGGAGTGGGGATAACTCCCCTGAGCATAGATATCATTTCCAGAAGGTTCTCCCAGCCCCCCAGTGTTTTTTTTTCCCAGCCCCTTGGCACACCGGCTCAGGAGGGGACCCCAAAATGCTCCTTATTTCCAGCTCCCCACACCAGCAGGGTTACAGAGGCCCTGCCCTGACACCCCAACAAACCAACCTCCTGCAAAGTGAGAGAAAACAGCCTGGCACCCCCAACACAGCCAGCAGCGCCCCCCATTTTCCACCTACCCCTCCTCACAGCATGGTAACCCCGGTCCCGGAGGAGCCAGCAGCGGAGAGGAGCCTGTGCCCAGCCGGGTCTGGCAGAGCCCCAGCCCAGGACCAGCTTCTTGGCAGGGCTGAGCCCTTAAACCTGGCTCAGAGGCTGAGCAGGGAACAGCAAGAGCTGAGACCCCACCCCGGCCGACCCCCCCCAGCCGGGAAGGAGCAATTTGGGGAGATCGGGGCCATTTGCAGATGCTCCGAGACAGACAGGGACAAAGCAGCTGCAAACGAGCCATGGCTCCAGGCGGGGAACGTTTTCCTCGCTCTGTGACCCCGCAAAACGGGAGCTTTTAAGTACCTGCCGCAAAATCAGGCATAAAAAACCCCCTCGGTTCCCTTCGTGCTGCGGCGCCAGTGAGGACAGAACATCCTGGAGGTGTGAGTAACCCCCGGTGCCAGCCCCGCGCCGCGGCAGAGGCGCCCGGGGCGCAGCAGCACCTCAATTAGGAGGTGAGGTGAGGCAAGAGCTGGCCCCGTGTGTGCCGAGCAGCACGTTCCCGCTCTTATCAGCTCCATCGGTACCTGCAGCCAGCGTTTCTCCCGGTCGCGATCCCGTCCCTCCGAGCGGAGCAGCCAGAAAGGAGCCTTTCCTGCTCCAGGGGGTCCTTCAAAGCCCACCAGACACCTGCAGCTCGTCAGCCCATCAGCTCCCTCCTTTCCCACTGAGTCACCAGCTGTTCCCACTGATTCACCCCTCTCGGCCACCTCTCCTTTCCGTGGCCCGTGGCCACTTCCCCGGTCCCCTGGTTCCCATTGACTCACTCCCATAAAGCTCACCCTCCCTTTTCCATTCCCATCCTGGTCATCTCTGGTCACCTGGACTCACCCTGAGGAGCCATGAGGAGCATCCCAGTGCGGGACCCACAGGCTGGGCAGCTCCAAAAAACCACCTCCAAACCTGTGCTGAAGCACCATTCCCAGGCCCCAAAGCTACAGGGAGCACCCTTTTCAGGAGCAAAGGATTCCTCCCTATTTCTCACCCTGGTTGGCATCTTCTGCTGTGTTTTCTTCCAGGGACCATGGGAAAAATACCAAAGGCTTTGCAGACCTTAGATGTAATCAGTGCCTCAAGCATATTCCTTCACACTTCCCATCCATCCCTCCATCCTGGAACCATCCCACGGGTTCGTTTACTCCAGCTGCAATACGGGAAGCGTTTAGGAAGGAGTCTGGAAGACTTGGGAAGCGCGGGGAAGTGGGATTTTGGGGAGCAGGGAGGCGCAGGCCCCGGCGCGTGCCGCGCCGCCGGCGCGCCCAGAGCGGCTCCGAGTGGAAAATTCCTGCCCCCGCCGAGCTCGGATTGTGGTCCGACAGGTTTCAGTCCCAGCCCCTTTATTTGTGTCAGTGCAAAAACTCATCCCTAGGGCATTTGTTTGGATCACATGGGCGAGCGTATAAAAATGGGCCCTACCTGTCCAGGCCAGTTAGCACCTGGAAAGGGAAGGCGGCTGCTGGAGCGGAGGGAAGAGCCGCGGGACGGCACAGGGCCGGTGCACACAGGTAACCACGGAGCAGATCTACCCCCTGGAGCAGATCTACCCCCTGGAGCAGATCTATTCCTGGAGCAGATCTACCCCCTGGAGCGGATCTACCCCTGGAGCAGATCTACCCCCTCCGTTTTTCCCCAGGGATTTGCCAGGGCTGCTCCTGGGATGGCGAGGCTGAGGGTTTCTCCGCCGGGAAGTTGTGGGGTTGGGGGTGTGTGGGATTTGGGGGTTAGGAAGTGGGTGGGAGCAGGGGTGGTTCATGCACAGGAGGAGCTCTGAGTGTCCCCGGGGTTGTTTCCAGCCCCCAGGGTGACGCAGACCCTCCAGCCCCTCATTCCCTCCTGCCCCCTTTGCTCCCCTCTGAGCTGTCGGGAATCGGGGTGTCCGACCCCCGGAGACTCCCTGGGGTGTGCTGGTGGCCCTCAGGGTTTAACAAGTGGCCCGTGGGCAGCGAGGTGGGTGCTCACGGGTGACCCCAAGCCATGGGGGCACACAGCTCCCAGCGTGGGACGGATCCACCCTGTTTTCCCCCCGGGAACAGCGCGGATCAAACCCGGCTCTCCCCGGCCGCTGTTCCAATAAGGGGTGTTGATGTCTCCTGGCAGGTTGTCAGGACGTCCCTGCAGCCACCAAAAGCTGGTGTCACCGCCCTCCCTGAGCCTCCTGCCAAGGCAGGGGGACGGGCGGTGCTGCTGCTGCTTCCTCGGGCCGGGAGCCGTTAGGATGGGAAGTGGTTTTGGGGATTTGGGAGCTGTTTCACAAGCGAGGGAGGGCACGAGGCACGGCCGCCCTCCAGCAGGCCAGGACTTGCAGCCAGGCTCTGTGATGATGAAAGAGGGTGATTTGCCTACTCCAAGGGTTCCTGGCCTGCTCCCAGTGCTGTCTGACATCCCATGTTCCCTCTTTTCTGGCCTTTCCTTCCCTCCCTCACCCCAACAGGGGCTCTGGGATCCCCACGAGTTTTCTCCCCCCCCACCCAGCATTGCTTCTTCCCCTTCCTCTGCTCTCCATCCCTTCTTGGAGACAGTTGCTTAGAAACAGACTCCTCGTTCTTTGATGTTTTAATTCTTTTTTTATTTTTTTAAATGGGGGAGAACAGTGGGGGTAAAAGGAGATGGCAGGACGGGATGTGCTGGGGAGCAGAGCGGGGAGGAGAGCCCAGGAAACAGCTGCCACTGAGGGAAAGGTCTAAAACAAGCAAACCCAGCATTTCTCCCCCTTTAGGAGAGGTGCAGCCCTCCCAGACCCCACACCATGCTCTGTTGGGGGTGCTGGCTGCAGCCAGCCCCAGGAGTCAGTCCCCTGAGGGTCCCATTTTCCCCCTTCTCTCTGACCAGCAGCGCCCAGGCACCCACCCCCCACCCACAGCAGCTCCCTGGGTGCAATGTGAGAACCAATTCCCTGGGGGGAAGCTGCTTGGAGGGTTATTTTCCCTTCCTGCCGAAGAGCCCAGGCTGGTTGGCAACGTTATCCGCCTGTTTTTTTGCGCTGCTCTCCATGGCAAGAGAAGCAGGAGAAAAGGGAAACAGAGAAGCCACAGGATGCACCGTTATAAGAGGAACTTTCCCCAAATAGAAGCTTTTCACAGCTTTTTCACGAGGCGTCAGCAGCTCTTAATACTGTATGAAACTGTGAATGCTGCATGAGGCAGCCGGGCAGGGGGGGAGCCTGTCAGTGCTCCAGGCTGCAGCTGCAGCCTCTCCCAGAGTGTGGGGCCGGCCCTGCACCCCAAAACCCGGCTGGGATGTCGGGAAGGGGCAGCTGGAGGAGCAGCCTCAGCTGTGATTCCACCTCAGCAGCGTTTCCTGCACCCCTCAGGGTGCTAAATCCAATACATCCCAGCTGGAGGGTGCAGGAATCCTGCACACACGGACCAGGACCTTGGGTTTTGCCCTGACCTGGTTTTTAGCTGCGAAAGATCCGCCTGGAGAGCCCCAAATGTTCATTAGCTCAGCGCTGGGGCGAGGGGAGGCAGCGCTTGTGTAATAAGTCTCATTTTACAGCAGTACACGGCTCCTTCTGGGTTTAAATATTTATAAGCTGAGCGCTGAGTCCCTGAAGTTGTGCAGTTGGTGTCGGTGGCAGGGTGAGCTGTCACCCGAGGAGGATCAGGTGGCTGATTCCAGGGCTGGGAGACGGGATCCAGGTGGGCAGCTGGGCCACAGGATGTGCAGGCAGTGAATTGCCAGAGCACCCCAATCTCCTGGCTCGGGGACAGACCCTTCTGCTCTGTCAGAACAGGGGATGAAAGGTGCAAAAATGTTCTTTTTGCTTGTTTTAGACCTTTCCTTCTGGTTTCGTGGGCTCTCCTCCCTGGCCTGCTCCCCACCAGTGTGTTGGCACATCCCAGTGGTGCAGGGTCCCTTTGTCCCCACTGTTCCCCCATCAGGGTTGGGGTTTGCCATTTTTGCAAAGTGCTGGTTGAAGATTTCTCCTTCTTCCTGGCTCCTAGTGGATATCAAGCCCACAAACCCCTTTTTTTCTGAGCTGGCACCTCCCTCCCTGGCTGCTGCTGGGGCTGGGGAGCCCACAAAGATGCCTCTGGCAGCTGCCCTCAGCCAGGAGATCCCAGGAAGAAAAACTGTAGACTTGGGGTATCCAGAGCAGCAAAATGGAGGAGTGACCCTTATTGCTCTTCCTGGTGAATCCACGGAAGGACCCAGCGCCGTGGTGTGTCTGTGGAACCCACTTCCCAGCGGGAGCCAGGCATGGGTTGGCTTTGCCAGGAGCAGAGCCCAGGCTGGACTCTGCTCCAGCCTGACGTGTGCAGGCACTGCTGAGCCAGTGACAGGGGAAGGAGGGACAGCCCTGCTGCCCTGCCTGGCTCCAGAGCTCCCGGGAGGGGAGCCTTGGGCAAACCAAACATGCTGGTCCGCTGGCCAGCCCGGGAGCCAGGCACTGCCCGGGGTGTCTGTGCCCACAGGGAAGGCTCTTAGCCCAAGGGTAAGGTGCTTGGAGCAGGGCTGGGAACTGGGGGACCCCTGGAGCGCCCCAGGGCTGAGGGGAAGTTGTCACTGTGGAACCTGCAGAGCAGGGCCGGGGCTGTGTGTGTGCCTGTTGCACAGATCTGGTTATTCAGATCTGTTTGTTCAGACTGCTCTGCACGGCGAAGGGGGCGGCACGAGGAGGGCAGACCTGGCAGCGAGACACAGGGACAGTGGGAAGAGGAGGGACAGCTCTGTCCCCACACTGGGACACTTCTTGGCCAGCCCAGGTGGCCCGGCAGGACCTGCCTTCCCAAAGGCTCCCTGTCCCCAGGGTCGTGGGGTGACACCGTGCAGAGGGACGGGGTGGCTTTGGGGTCTGAGTCCGTGTTTGGGGTGTTTTTACAGAGCCCTTCTGCCCTCTCCCTTCAGAGTCTGCCAAGAGAAAGAGATGGAAAGCCAAGGGAAAGGCAGCCCCGCCGGGAAGATGACTGCCATGGCTCACAGCCTGTAAGTACCCTCCTCCCCGGAGCTGCCTCCTCCAGCCCCCTCGTTCCAGCACTTTTCCTCCAGCCACTTTCTCCAGGGGACTTTGCTCTTTGCTCCCCTCTGACACACTTCACTGTGATGCCTCTTTCTCCCATGGATAAGGTGGAAAACTCGCAGCAGAGCTTAGGGCAGAGCCAGGCAAAGGCACAATCCTGGGCAGAGGGGGCTTTGGGAACGTGTGGTCTGGGGCTGCTGGAGTGTGTTGGGGTGTCTCTCCACTCCAAGCCCCCTTTTGCCAGCGAGGGGTGCATTGCCTTGGTCTGTCTCAGCCCTTCAGGCCTTTGCAAGGTGAATAACACTGAGCTCAGCTTGAGTTGGGGGTCAGGGAGGGGGGGCCCTGGTGGGGGCAGGGCCGGGAAATCTCCAGCGATTGCAGAGCATTTTCTGGCTGCTCCAAGGAGCAAACGGTTTGGATTTGGATTCCTACATCCTGACCCTCAGCAAGGCTGGGCAGGGGCCTGGCAGCACCCGGGAGGAGTGGAAACGCCCCTGGCATTGAACTAGAGAGTCATAAAGTTTACTGGGGAGGGCACGGCTGGAGCAATGTCCGCTCATGTCTCGGGGACCTGGGGAGCTTCTTCATTGCTCGCTGGGGAGCAGGACAGGGGGGCAGGAGGGCACTGTGGGGTGAAAACGGATGCTTGGTGCCAGTGGTGTGAGCTCCCCGAGGTGACCCCCAGCGCTCAGCCCTCGGGTTTCGAGCTCTTTGCCTGGGAGGGAGGGTGATTAGGGAGCTGGACAGATGGGAGTCCCTGGGGACAACTGCAAGAGGCTTAAATCAGACAGAGAGAGATGGGAGCAGGGAGAAAACGGCCTTTTAATCACAGCCCTGCCAGAGACAGCAGTGCTGAGGGAGGGGAGATCCCACCTGGCAGCTGTGCCATGCCATGGGCAGCTGTGCCATGCCATGCCCTGCCCTGCCATGCCATGCCATGCCCTGCCATGCCATGCCATGCCGTGGGCTTGCTTGATGCAGCAAGTCAGCTGAGACTCGTGTTTCTCCTCCCACGGAGCAGGGGGGCTGTGAGCAGCATCCACGTGCTCCACAGATGCTCCCCAGCCCCTTCTTCCCCTGCCTGGTGCCCTGCCTGGTGCCCTCCCCGGTGCCTCCAGCCACCGGCTCTCTCTTCCCGGGAAAAGGGGCCGGCTGGAGCTGCGCAGCTCCGAGCGTTTCGACTGCAAGTGACAATCGTGCTTTTGTTTAGCCTGGCCGGGAGGGGGGCAGGCGGCAATTTGGCTGCCCTGAAAGCTGCCGGGAACCCTTTCTGCCACAATTAAGCACCTGCTACAAAGAGAGCAAATAAGCCAAATCATGCGGCTGGCAAACAAGCTCTACGTGTTCCTTCCCCCGTGACCCACTCCAAGAAGCAGAGAGAGAGCTCCGGGCTGCGGCTCTCTGGCTGCTCGCAGCTCCCGTTGCAGGGAGGGGGGGGATTAAATAGCTCTGCGTGGAGCCAAAAAAGCTCCTCCGCCCGCTCGCGGTTCCCGGCGTGGGCACGGAGGCAGCGCCGCGAAGCTGCCGGTGCCCGGCTCAAAAGCCTCAAGGGCTTCTCCCTCCCTAAATTAGCGGCTCCATCTCCTTCTGCTATGGAGAGGCAGATCCCCGTCCTGCGCGTTAGGTGAGGCGGGGGGCGCTGGCCGGGCTGGGGAGGGGGGGGAAGGTGCGGGGCGAGGGCAGCGCTGAGCTCTGACTCCCGCTTTGACGCGGCGCTGCATCAGTGCCGGCCCGGCTGAGCCGAGCGGGGAAGGAAGGGCTCAGGCCGCTCCTGGGCTGGGGGGGCCGAGCCTAGCCCGGCTCAGCGGAGCGGAGAAGGCAGGCGAAAGGCTTCGGGAGAGGATGGCGAGGATCACATGATGCGGATATTACGGGGTCAGAGCAGCGGGGCCGGAGCGAGCGGCGCTTTCCCGGCAGCCGCGCTGCGAAGATGACTCGGAGTTTTTATTTTTTTAATGCCCTGCGGGGTTCGGGTTTAGGGAGGAGGAGGGGGGGGGTGCCCCCAGGGTGAGGAGGGGGCTGCAATAAGCGCTGCGGAGTAGGATAAAAAGGCAGGAGTGCAGCGCGTGGCCTGTGCTTGGAGAGCGTGGATGGATGGAGCAGCTTTGCTCCCCCCTCCCACCCCGGGAGAACAGGGTTTTGGGGGCGCTCTGAGGGGTTGTCAGGGGTCTCCTCTGGCGCAGCCCCATCCTCAGCCGGGCTCTTGGCCTGGGAGCACCACCAGCACCACACATGGCCCGGCTGGGAGCTGGCAGCCCTGTGCACCCCCCGTGAAACGTGGGGAGGGGGCAGGAGGGGCTGCACCCCTTCCCCGGATCGGGATTGGGGGGCGAGGGGAGGGATGGATGCAGAGGAAGGGTGGAGGGGAGATGCAGGGGGGGATGAGGGTGTCACACACCCCCCCGTATGGATGTCGCAGATGATGGAGGGCAAGGTGGGAGGGGTAAGGGCACGGTGGGGGTCTCATGCACGGTGGGAGAGGAGAGAAATCCATGTAGTGCAGGACTGGGGGGGGCAGGATTGCGGGCCAGGACAGAGGGCTAGGAGCAGGATGAGAGTCCCATGGAAGTCAGGATTGGGGGGGGCACGACGGAGCCCCCTGCGAGGGAAGGTAGGGCAGGATGGGGGGCCCATGGAAGTCAGGATTTGGGGGGGGAGAGGCATGACAGAACCCCTTGCCGAGGGACGGTGGGGCAGGATGGGGGTCCTAAGCGCGGCAGGACGCGCCCGCACCCCCCAGGACACCCCCCCAATGTCTCTCTCAGCCAATGGGCGGTGTCGGGGGGGGTGTCTGGGGCGGGGCTCCGGCGCGGCCGCTTGTTTTTTGTGAATGAAAGGCGGGGCGGCGGCGACTGCAGCGCGCAGGGCAGCGCGCAGCGCTCCGCGCAGCAGGGCCGGGATCCGCGCAGGGGGGATCCGCGCAGCGCAGCGGGCCGCGGATGCGGAGATCGGGGCGGCCCAGCCGCCGCCATGGGCCCCCGCGCCCCCGGCCCTGAGCCGCGCAGCGCGGCCCCGAGCCGTGCCCAGCCGAGCCGCGCAACCTGCGCCATGGCCGTGTCCGGAGGGGCGAGCCCGGCCCCGGCCCCTGGGAGCCGCCGCTTCGTCTGTGTTGGTGTAAGTACCGGGGGGGGGAAAAACCCACCCCAAGCGCTTCCGCCCCGCGTCCCCCGCTCCGCCTCCGCGCATCCTGCCCGGCCCGGCCCGGTGCGGGCGCGGGGGGCAGCGAGGGCCCGGCCTCTTCGCCCTGCACCCGCCACCGCTTGGCAGTGCCTGGCACCCGGTCCGGGCTCTCCGTGCACCCCCGAGACCCTTTGAGATGCCCCGCACCCGCTCCCGGTGCTTCCCGTCCCCCTTGCGATGCCCCACTCCCGTTCCCGATGCTCTCCAGCCCCCTTGCAATGCCCCGCACCCCCGATCCGGGTGCTCCGAGCACCCCTGAGCCCCCTCGCAATGCCCCGCACCCCCGGCCTGGCTCCTCCCCAGCCCCCTTGCAATGCCCCGCACCCGCGGTCCGGCCGCTCCCCCGGCCCTTTCCAAAGCCCCGCACCCCGTTCCCGGCTCTCCCCGACCCCTTTGCAATGTCCCGCACCCCTTCCCGCTGCTCCCCGGCCCCTTCCACGGCCCCGCACCCCCACTCCCGGTGCCCCCCGCCCGCCGCATCCCCCGGCCCCGGCCGTGCTGCAGCCCCGCTCGGGGCCCCGCTCCCGCACCGCCTCCCGCACCGCCTCCCGCCGCGGCCTCCACAGCCCCGGCTGCCTCCGGGCCCCGTTTCTCCCGCGCCCCGCGGCTGCCGGGGGGTTCACGGGAGGTGCCGCGTTATTTTTGAGCGTCGCTGCCGTTTTGGGGCAGTTCCCCCCCGCCCCGTTTGGGGGGTTCTCCTGCCCTGGCGAGGTGCGGGATGGAGGATTTTTAGCCGGGGAGTTGCTAAGCGACGGCTCCCGGGGTGATGGTGCAGTTGCCTTGGCAACCACAGGCTGGGAGCCTGGAAGGAGCAGTTTTGGGGTTCTCCTTGGGGGAGGGTGGGTGCGAATTGGGTGCCTGTGGTTTGGGTGGGGGGCTGCGGTGGGCGGGGAGAGCAGGGCTGGGGGGCTGCTGGCCAGAGCAGCCCTGCTCCCCAGGGAAGAGCTTTTCCTTCAGGGGGAACTCCGATGTCTTGGCATCTCAGGTTATTTCTTGCTCTCCGGTGGGTTTCGGAGCCGTCCTTGGAAGAGAGGGGATGGTGGGAAGGTAGGGAGGGGGATACAGCTGAAATTGCCCCTGTGAAAGCCTCAGCCCCTCCTGGGGTGGTTTGGTGGGTGGGGGGCTGTGAGCCCTCCCCGTGGGGCCCACAGGGCTCCCCACTGTGTTTGTGCTTTCCTGAGAACCATCCCCCTCCTCATCGCAGGCACTGATCCCATCAGGATTTAGCCCCTAATTCCCGTGGGCCACCGGACTTTCCCAGCAGGCTCCCAAGTCCCCTGTACTCAGCTGGGGGGGGGCCCGAGCTCCCCATCCGAACTGCCAACCGCGGCTGTCATTCCATGTGCCTTCCCCCACCATCCAAATGAGCTCAGCCGACTTGGGAGCACGGCTGGGCCTAAAAATAACCACAGCGAAGCTCCCTGAGCACTGACAACCCCCCCACACACCCTGGAGATCTCCTGGATCTCCTGGTCCTACAGAGCAAAGCTGATCCCCGGGAGCAGCAGTGGAGGGCGATGTGTGAGATGGAAAAGGATTTTGAGGGGCTGCCAGGGAAGGGGACCACCTGCCCTGGTTCCTTTCCGCATGCAGAGCCCAAGGAGGCTGCTCTTTCTGGTTTTCAACGCCCTCCAGGATGCATTCCCTGCATCCCAGAGGATGGAGGGGGACGTGGAATGCGGTGACAACTAGTCAGAGAAGTTTTGCCCGGGGACCAGCGCCCGGTGTCGAAGCGCTGGCACCCAAAGCAACCTGGATTTGTGCCACCTGCCTTTGCCTGCACCTGCCCACGGGGCTCGTGGCTCAGTCCCTCTCCCGTGCCGCTGGTGTGCCCAGGTGTGCCCGGGAGGGAGGGAGGGAGGAGGTGCACGGAGGGAGGTGCTAACATTGGGAAGTCCTTGCCGGGCTGGGGAGCTGCGGCCCTGGTCCCGCGTGCAGGGCTCGGTTGCCACGGTTACCGGGTATTTTCGCTCACTGCGCTGGTGGTTTATTATAGAAGCTCAGGAGGCTGGTGCCAGGAGGGAGCGACAAGGGGGAAGAGATCTGCGGCTTTGGGAAGTTCAGAGCGATTGGGATGTGGGGCTTTTTTAGTCCGTCTCCCCCTTCCCTCGACCTCCTCGCCGCTTTTGCCCCCTGGAAATCTTGTCAAACCCTGCTGTGATGAGTTAATCCTGCCTGGTTTGGACTCTGAGGTGTGGACAGGCAAAGGATGGTACACCTGGGCACACCTGGGTGCTTCACACCATCCTCACAGCACCCGTGGCACCATCCTCCCTCTCGGGGAGTGTTGGGGTCACACTTGCTCCTGGGAGACTGGTGATGCTGGGAGCCCTCCCAGTCCCGGTGGCTGCTGAGCCTCTGGGAAACAGGAGAAGTTTCTTCTCTGCTGTTCTTAGCTGGGAGCAAATATCTGCTCTGGGAATGGGGTGGGGAAAGAGGGGCAGGTCATTGTGCTCCCCCGAGACTGGCAGGGAAGAGACTGGCAGTGCCCGCGCGTGCACTCGCTCGGGCAGATCTGGAAGCTTCGCCTGCGAACGCTGGAGAAGGAGAAAAGGAAAAGGAGGGAGGGAGTTAAAAAAAAAAAAAAAGAAGGCTCATCTCACATGAACAAGCATGAGCCGGAGAGCGGGAGGGAGGAGGGCGGAATGGAGCGCAGGGCATGTGTCTGACGGCACAGCAACGCACGCTGCCACGAGAACATGAAATTTTAAAGGGGACTGGCGGGGAGCGTGAGCCAGGGAGGGCTGGGCAGCTGCTGCAGAGCTTCTCTGGGCTGCGAGGGAGCGAGAGCATCTCTCTGTCCCCCTCTGGCATCCTGACCCATCTGCAGACAGCCCTCCCGGCTTGGCCTGGGTGTATCTGCCAACCCCCCCCTCCCCGTTCCCCCTGCAGGTCCCAATTAATGGATTCTGACATGGATTATGAGAGGCCAAACGTAGAAACTATCAAGTGCGTCGTGGTCGGGGACAACGCGGTGGGCAAGACCCGGCTCATCTGCGCCCGCGCCTGCAACGCCACGCTGACCCAGTACCAGCTCCTCGCCACCCACGTGCCCACGGTGTGGGCCATCGACCAGTACCGCGTCTGCCAGGAGGTGAGAGCTGCTCACGGGTACCCCCTGGGAACCCCGAGGAGGTGGAGCTGCGTCCTCCCCGCCGGGGAGGTGGGAATCGCTCCCCCGTGCCCTGCTCGAGGACTCGGGAGCTGGACGGTGTCTCTGTTCCCGCAGGTGCTGGAGCGCTCCCGGGATGTGGTAGACGATGTCAGCGTGTCCTTGCGGCTCTGGGACACCTTTGGTGACCACCACAAGGACAGGCGCTTTGCCTACGGCAGGTAGGGAGGGGGCAGAGCCTCGGTGCAGGGAGGGAGGGCAGAGCCGAGGCGCCGAGAGCTGGACCTTGACCCCGCTCCCCTCGCAGGTCCGACGTCGTGGTTCTGTGCTTCTCCATCGCCAACCCCAACTCCCTGCACCACGTGAAGACCATGTGGTACCCGGAGATCAAGCACTTCTGCCCCCGCGCGCCCGTCATCCTGGTGGGCTGCCAGCTCGACCTGCGCTACGCCGACCTGGAGGCCGTCAACCGGGCGCGGCGGCCCTTGGCCAGGTGGGACCCCGGGGCCCTGGAGGTGCCCTTGCCTGCCCAACGCTGTCCCCCTTGCCCGAAGGGTTCGTCATCTCCCCTCTCTTTTTCAGGCCGATCAAACCTAACGAGATCCTGCCCCCGGAGAAGGGGAGGGAGGTCGCCAAGGAGCTGGGGATCCCCTACTACGAGACGAGCGTGGTGGCCCAGTTTGGCGTCAAGGACGTCTTTGACAACGCCATCCGCGCCGCCCTCATCTCCCGCCGCCACCTGCAGTTCTGGAAGTCCCACCTCCGCAACGTGCAGAGGCCTCTTCTCCAAGCCCCCTTCCTGCCCCCCAAGCCCCCTCCGCCCATCATCATCGTCCCCGACCCCCCTTCCAACAACGAGGAGCGTCCAGCCCACCTCTTAGAGGACCCCCTGTGCGCGGACGTCATCCTGGTGCTGCAAGAGAAGATCAAAATCTACGCACACAAGATCTACCTCTCCACCTCCTCCTCCAAGTTCTACGACCTGTTCCTCATGGACCTGAGCGAGGAGGACCAGCAGGGCGCTGCGGGGCACGGCTTCGGGGTGGCCGTCACCGCGGCCGCCGAGCGGATGCTGCACCAGGAGGAGAGGCACCACGGGCGGGATTTCCTCCTCAGGGCCGCCAGCTTCGACATCTGCGAGAGCACCGAGGAGGCCGGATCCGGCCAGCGCAAACCGTGCCTTAGAGCCTCCACCAGTGACGGGATCCTGCGGGGCAACCGCTACGAGAACGGGGAGCGCGGGCTGCGGCGGGGCAGGAACCTCTCCTCGTGGAGCCGGGCTTTCACCAGCATCCAGGAGGAGATGGCCGAAGACCCGCTGACCTACAAGTCCAAGCTGATGGTGGTGGTGAAGATGGACGCTTCCATCCAGCCGGGTCCCTTCCGGGCCGTGCTGAAGTACCTGTACACGGGGGAGCTGGATGAGAACGAGCGGGACCTCATGCACATCGCTCACATCGCCGAGCTGCTGGAGGTCTTCGACCTCCGGATGATGGTGGCCAACATCCTCAACAACGAGGCGTTCATGAACCAGGAGATCACCAAAGCCTTCCACGTCCGGAGGACCAACCGGGTGAAGGAATGCCTGGCCAAGGGGACTTTCTCGGGTACGACTCCAGGGGCCCGGGAGCAGCCCCCCCTGTTCCCTGGGAGGGGGGTCTGAGGGGTGGATGGGGGGCTCGGAGCTCCTGGGTTTGGCCGTGCCGTGGGTCAGCGGGTGTTCGCTCGCCTTCCCCAGGATTTCTGGTCACACTTTGCTTATCTGGGATTTTTATTGCTGCTTTTTTTCCCAAGAAAGTGAGTGTAAGGGCCCTTCCCCAGGGTTTCCTGCTCCCCAGCCCGTCCAGCAGCTCCGTTTGTTTACGGAAGAGCAGCAGAGGCGACTTCCTTCCCTCCCAGCTCGGATTTTTCACAGGGTCATCTGATTTATCGGGAGCGAGTGCCCTTAGTAGGATTTCCCCAGCTTTCCACTGAGCACCACGAGCCACCAGCACGAGGTGACATCCCAGGGGGATGTGAATGTCCCAGCCTCCCTCTGGCTGGATTTGTTTCTTGAACATAGATCCTGATGTGATCAAGCTGTCACTGTGAGGGGACAGATGTGTCCTGGCCCGTGGCACACCCCTGGGAGAAGCTGTGGAGAGCAGAGTAGGGGGGGCAGGAGATCCCCAGCGTCCTTCCCAGTTCTCCAAGGACTCAAACTTGGGCGAGACATTTGCTTCCTTAGTTTGCCCTTTGCTTTCAAATGTGTTGTGGAATGACCTGGGAAAATCCCTCGGAATACCCAGAGCACTGCTGAGGCCCTTCCCTGAGCTCCTTTGAGCTGGTGGGGGATGCTGGAAAAAAGAGAGATTTCTAAAGGAAAAATATAGGAAATGCCAGACTCTGTCCCCTTCCTGGTGCGAGATACTTTGTGGCAGGGGGTGGCTGAGCCCCAGGGGATGGAGACAGCCCCGGTAGCATCCCTCTGCTTGTCCCCAGATGTCACCTTCGTGCTGGATGACGGTGCTATCAGTGCCCACAAGCCCCTGCTCATCTCCAGCTGCGACTGGATGGCCGCGATGTTCGGTGGCCCCTTCGTGGAGAGCTCCACCAACGAGGTGAGGATGAGGAGGGGTCCCGGGGCTGTCCCGGGAGAAGGGTGGGCACGGCCATGAGGTGGCAACGCGTGTGTGTGTCCCGCAGGTGGCACTTCCTCACACCAGCAAGAGCTGCATGCGGGCGGTGCTGGAGTACCTGTACACGGGGCAGTTCAGCTCCAGCCCCGACCTCGACGACATGAAGCTCATCATCCTCGCCAACCGCCTCTGCCTGCCGCACCTGGTGGCTCTCACAGGTGAGCCCGGGGGGCTGCAGCAGGGCTGTCCCCAAGCTGGGTGGGTGTCCCCCCGCCCCGGCCTCCCCGTGACCCCCTGTGTCCCCCCACAGAGCAGTACACGGTCACCGGCTTGATGGAGGCGGCCCAGATGATGGTGGACATCGATGGGGACGTGCTCGTGTTCCTGGAGCTGGCTCAGGTAGGACAGGGAGGCACAAGGTGCTGGGTGGTGACGCTCAGAGGGGTCTGGCGGCTCCGGGGGGTGGGTGATGCTGCCCTGGCAGAGGGGACAAGCAGGTCTTGGGTGTCCATGGAGAAATAGGGTTCACCCTCCTGCTGGTCCATGCCTGGGGGGCTCTGACGTGGGGCTCCATCCCTTGCAGTTCCACTGCGCCTACCAGCTCGCCGACTGGTGCCTCCATCACATCTGCACCAACTACAACAACGTCTGCCGCAAGTTCCCCCGGGACATGAAGGCCATGTCGGGAGGTGAGCGGGAGCCAGGGTGGGATGACGGGGTGGGGGGGTCCTGGTGGTCCTGGCACCACCCTCACCCTCCCTCTCCCCCCTGTCTCCCTGCAGAGAACCAGGAGTACTTCGAGAAGCACCGCTGGCCGCCGGTGTGGTACCTGAAGGAGGAGGATCACTACCAGCGGGCGAAGAAGGAGCGGGAGAAGGAAGACTACCTCCACCTCAAACGGCAGCCCAAGAGGCGGTGGCTCTTCTGGAACGCCTCCTCCTCCCCTTCTTCCTCTCCTTCATCGTCAGCAGCCACAGCCTCCTCTTCGTCCTCCTCCTCCTCCTCCTCGGCTGTGGTTTGAAAGCCCGTCCTTGCCCTGGCTCCAGCATCCCTGGGAGGAGACGGGGAGGAGGAGGAGGAGGAGGAGGAAGCAGGGGGTGACCTGCCCCAGCGCCAGGCGTGCAGCGGACGCCACGGGCCGAAGCCCCAGAGGAGATGGTGGCCACGGGGGTCTGTCCCTGTGGTGGGGGGCTCAGGGCCAGCCCCTGGTGCTCCTGCAGCCCTGCTCTCCCCGCGCCGCGGTGCCAGCACTGCAGGACTGGCAGAGCCCGAGCAGCAGGAGAAACTCATGTTTACAGGAGCACGAGGGCTGTGTTGTGGTTTTATTTTGGATTTGATTTTTTTTTTTTTGGTACGTTTGTTTGTTTGGAACATCAGCAGCATGAGGAAGAAGAAGAAGAAGAAGAAACGCATCCCGCTTCCACTTTGATTTGTAACCAGAAGCTGTGGGATATGGTTTGTGTGTCTGATGGCACCTGGAGCCACTGTGGGGGTCCTGCCACCCCCTTTGACTCACAGCAGGGTCAGGCACAGTGCAGGGGACCCTGGTCCCCAAATGCCTCCAGGCACTGCAGCATATTCCCCTACCAGTGGGGTCTGTCCCTAATTCAGGGTGTGGAGGGGACCGGAGTCCTCTCCTCCCCATTCTTAACTTTTTATTTAAAAAGAAAACTTAAAGCAAAAAAACCCAACCCGATCCCAAACCCACTCCCCCAACCTGCCACACCAGAAACCAACCCCGGGCCCTTGGCTTGGGCTTTTAGCCTGGAAGGCTCCATTGTAATAAATGGTATTTTCAAAGCCCAGCGTGGTCCCTGTGTGTTTGGGAGGGAGCACCTGGACACAGCACATCCTTGTGCCCTGCTTGGGGGGACACCATCGCCCCCCTTCCAGCGCTCCCGGGGTGGACAGGGACAGGGAAGCACTGCAGGATCCATCCATCCATCCATCAAAACCCCTTGTACAAGGAGAGGTGGCTTTCCCGTCAGACTAACTCTGCATGTCCCACCTGTGTCCCTGCAGGTCCACAGCCCCAGGGCTCTGCAGGGCTGCCAGGCAGGCCAGGAAGGACCCAAACCTCCGCTCGCCCTCCCCAGCTGGGATGGGGAAGAGCCCATCCCTGGCAGAGGCTGCAGCCGGAGGGAGCACATAGGGATGCTCCCGGTGCGTCCCCTCCCACTCCACCTTGCTCCTCTTCCCAGCTGGCCTCGCAGAGCACCTTGGAGCCTCTCATTCCGCATGCTCGCCCTCGGCCACGGATGCAGGAGCGAGGTGGCAGCTCCAGCGAGCTCACCCTGGGTGTTCTCCCCCTCTGCAGCCCCAAGGAGCAGGTAGGACCACGAGTTTCTTTCCCTTTCCTCTGCGGGCGCTCCCCGGTCCCGTGTGCCTCCCCCAGGCCAGGCCCCGAGCCCCCGTGTCCCAGCCCTGCATCCTGCACGTGCCTGGCTCTGCAGGAGCTCCCTGCCCAGGTTTGCATGCTCGGGAGGCACGAGGGGCTGCCCGGGACAGGACCTTTTGGTCCTGGTAGGGCCCCCCCAGAGCTCCTGCTTTTCGCACCCGCCCCAGCGCTACCGATAAACCCCAACTGCAGTGCGGGGGCTGGTGGGCAGCCCCAGGGGCTTTTTGGGGGGCCAGCAGAGCCCCTCTTCTCACTTAAGCACTGCATGGATTTGCCACACAGCTACTGCAGCACACAGAGCCCTGGCTGGGTGGAGCCGGAGCAGCTCCGGGTCAGCGTCGCGTGGCCCCCCCTTGGCCCTGGGGTCCCACCCCCTGCTCGAGGGACAGATTTCACCCTCCTGTTCTTGCAGGGAGCAGAGAGCACAGGACTCATGGTGTAGGGGTTAAGGCAGAGGCCAGGTTGGCTGCTGAGGGCTTTTTCCCCCCGGCAGAAGCATTGCTGGTGGGGACCGTTCCCAGTGGGATGCAAGAATTCCATGGGCTGGGTCCTTGGCACCACAGGGAGCAGCTGCTGAGCATCTGGTCCAGCTCCTTTGGTGCCCACTGAAACCCTGGCAGAGCACGGGATGTGTGTGGGGGGGAAATAAAACCAGACAAGAAATCAGGAGGATTTTTTTTTTTTTTTTAAAAAGTTAATTCTTCCTTCATAAAGAGAAATGTAAAAACTGGAAAATAAAGCAAACTGGCTGGGCCAGAGCTCTGTATAAAACACACTCAACCATGCATACCAAAATACCAATATTTTTATATTAACTTTTAAGTTAACATATGTAAACAATTGCTAAATAAATACATAAATACACAACTCCTGCTTGCATCCACGTGGTTTGTTCAGTTGCACTGAGCGGGGGAGAAGTGGTGGGAGCAGGAGGCGCAATTGCTTGGCAGCAAAGGGCAGCCCTGGGCTGCTCCCACCACACTGGGGAAGGTCCTGGTGGACTGGGCTGTATTGGGGTGGCAGCTCAAGTAATCCAGTAGTTTTTCCAGCAAAGTTGTCCCTGAGCTGTGCGTGAGAGGGAAAGTGTTTGAGAAGCAACCCCTGCAGTTGGGGGAGGGATGGCAGGTACTCGTGGTCACTCTCAGACCTTCAGTGCATTCACCTTTCCACGCTGGCTGGAGTCACAGGGACTGCAAAGCCACCCCACAGCCGAGGGAACGGAACTAAACTGTCATCAGCAGGTCCAGGGAGGTGATTTTCCCCCTCTACTCAGCTCTGATGACACCCCACCTGCAGCTCTGGGGCCTCCAACATCACAAGGACATGGAGCTGCTGGAGTGAGTCCAGAGGAGGCCATGGAGATGCTCCGAGGGCTGGAGTCCCTCTGCTCTGGAGCCAGGCTGGGAGAGCTGGGGGGGTTCACCTGGAGAAGAGAAGGATCCAGGGAGACCTGAGAGCCCCTTCCAGTGCCTAAAGAGGCTCCAGGAGAGCTGGAGAGGGACTTTGGACAAGACCCTGGAGTGACAGGACATGAGAATGGCTTCAAACTGAAGGAGGGTTGAATTAGACGGGCTATTAGGAAGAACCTTTTTCAAATGAGGATGTGGTTAAACACTGGCACAAGTTGCCCAGAAAGGTGGTGGTTGCCCCATCCCTAGAAACATTCAAAGGTCAAGGCTAGACAGGGCTTGGAGCCACCTGATCTAGTGGAAGATGTCCCTTCTCGTGGCAGGGGGGTTGGACTAGATGATCCCTGCACTGTCCCTTTTCTTAAGCAACCCCAGTGATCATAGTGCAAATAAATCGTTCCCACTCTCCCCTCAAAGTCCACTTTCAAGCTGGAACAGCAAGCAGAACCACTAACTAACTTAAAAAAAACTTAAAGTAACTTAAAAAACCAATTTAGCAGCAACTAACCAGTGAATGACCAAGTGAAACCAAGAGAGCACTTGGCATCCGTAAGGAAGCACCACCATGGGGCCTGCAGCTGCAACAGCTGCAAAAGTAGCACCACGAAGTTCGTACTTCACTCCTGGTTCAGCTGAACTCTGCAACGGCAGAGCTATAAACAGCTCAAAAATTCATATGTCCCGGGAGGTAGTTCACAGCTTTGGGTCACGCAACGGAGACGCAGGACCCGCCTTGCTCTTCAGCTCCTTCGGATTTAAATAACCCCTTCCTGATGATTTCGGAGGAGATGTCGTCTGCGACCCCACGGAGATCCAGCTGGTCCAGGGTCTCCAGCAGCACGTTCACAGAGGCTTTGGACCCTTCTCTCTCCAGCCACTTGTTGAGCATTTCATAGAAGGCATCGTCCTGTGTCCGGTTATCAGGCAGATCGTTCTCTGGCATATTGAGGCTTCGGCCGAATCTCTTCCAGTAGATGAATTTCATTCCAGCAAAGATGTAAAAAGTGCTTCGCAGCGCTGGAGGGGGAAGGGGAAAGCTCAGAGAACGGGGCAGAGCACGGGCAGCTGGGTTGGAAATCTCACCCCCTCTGCCCCCCCAGCACATCTGTTGGGCCCCAACACTTACCCTGAATGGGTTCTTTCCCTGTCTGTGGAACCAGATCCCTCCTGGGTCTCGGCCTGGGAGAAGGGGCAATCGGCAGCATCTCCTGGAATGGCAATGTCTATAGCACCCACCAAGCCCTGGCACAAACGCTGTGCCTGAGCCTCCCAGTGCAGGGACTGGAGACCCCTCTCCCTCTCTCCAGGGGCTGTTGGGGCAGGACACCACCCTCCACCCCCAGGACATCATGGATTCCTAGCTCTGGGATGGCAGCAGGCCACGAGCAGGGAGAGCTGCCTCATGGTTCCCAGCCAGGGAGAGAAGAGCTGTTTGCTCAGCAGCATTAAACCCGCAGAGGACTCTGGCAGTCGACTGCAACGAGCAGGATTTGCAGTCCTGAACCCAGAACAAGGACAGAAGACCCCTCTCCACCTCCCTGCAGATACCATGGTCCAGCCCTGGACTCCCCCCAAGCTGATGAGCCTGGGGAAGGCAGAGGGAAGCATCAGAGCTTGGGCAGAGGTCACTCTGTACCTCTGACTCCTCGGCCCTGGGGAGCGGCGGATCCCGGGAGCGCTGCTCGTTGAGGTTGTTGTCCTGTGTCCCCACGTTCCCCCTCCCGCACCAGCTCAGCTTTTGCATCAGGTTGCTTGCATCCTGGGGCAGGAGAGAAGCACAAACCCTGTCGGGTGGTCCCAGCTCCCAGCGGCCCCGCAGGGATGCCAATGGCAGGATCCCCCCTGCCGTGGGCTCAAGGGCATGGCTCGCTTGCTTATCCCGAGCCTGAAGGAGCTCTGGCACAGCACAGCCCTCCCTTCACCCTGAGGTCTTCACTGGCACTCTGAGTGTGCCAGCACCTCTGCCAGGGGAAGGGCTCATGGCACTGCGAGGGGGCTGCAAGCACACAGGGCCCCTCCTGTGCTTGGCCCCTCACCATATCCCTGCAGGGGTGAGACTCACCCCCTGCTCCTCCAGCCTCCCCGGGAGCTGCAGGCCAAGTGGGGAGCAGAGGGCACGGGGGACCTCACCCCAGCCCCACAAACAGAGCCACCACCCCGCTGCCATCCCAGCAGCTCACCTTCAAACTGTAGGACGTCAGGTTCCTCCTCTTC